TCAATGGTTTCATAATCTCCACCATCACCACCCCTGTTTATGCCTTTATGGCAAGTGTACGTACACAGGCAGGCAATATCCCACAGAACGACCTTCAGCCCCCTGCGGTAATTGAAACCTGCTCGCCGGCTCACACACGCCTGCTGCTTTTATAGACGAGGGGCTTTCCCCTTCACACTCCGTAGAGTTGTTGACTCTTGCTCTGCGTCTTGTTCATCTCCGTAGGACCAACAGCTTCCGTCTGGAGTTCTCTTCATGTTGCATTTGTGCAGTTTGGAGTCACGTCCGCTCCGAATCGTGTTGCAGCGCTGTTCATCACGTTTTAGCCTGTTAAATAATAGCGGTGGAGGGGGGGGGGGGGGGGCATTTTTCGATGTCTCTTGATTCTCTCGGTAGAACGATTCGGTCTCGATTCAGAAAATTTAATAATCGGAATAAAAAAAAGTCTGTCTCGCGCGAGATATTAGCTCGCTCGCGGAGCGTGAACTTCCTCGCTCGCGAGGTTGGTCTCTGCTCGCGCTCATATCTTACCTCATTATTTCCATTTTCCAAAAAGTCGATCTGTATTGAAAGTTGGCAAGATATTCACAGATTTGGACTTTTTTCCGGTATTTTACAAATACGGACCGGTCTGAGACTAAGAGCATCTGAATCTGTTTTTTTTTACATCGGCTACTTCCATATTGTGTTGAAATGCGAGCTGCATTGGTTCCTGCATTGTTGATAGAAAATCATATTTTTTTCTCTTATAAAAAATTAGAGATGGTAATTCGTCTGTTGATTTTCTTTAATTATCAAATAAAGTAGGAAGTGATCTGAGTAGCAAACTCAGATTTGAGAAAATTTAGAAAATCGAGATCGTTTTTTATCGGTTTAGAATCGAATCGTTGACCTCTGAACCGGAATCGAATCGTGAGGTGCCAAGAGATTCCCCCCCCTATTAAATAACATCAATGTTAAAATACTAAAGATGCCACTATAAAGTGTGCAATCTGCTCATCTCTCTGGCTGTGAGTCATTAAGCTCCTCTCCACCAGTAATTAACAAGCAGCCACTTCTCGCTTCCTCTGCCGAGGGATTCCGTACGAGTCTCTTCAGAAGCGGGACAGGAAGGAAGGAAGGAAGCGTCACGGTTTGGGGCGGGGCTTCACACTGACTGACAGGTCTCTACGTCCTTCCAGCCTCACTTTCTGTTCACCGGTTGCAAAATGGCAAAGATGGCGACGGCCAACCCGTCAAGTCTCGTGATGTACTCAACTGTGACTGCTTGGCGTTTCTGAAAGAATCAGCTGATTATTGTTACAATCTCCACGTGAGCGACGGCGCTGGCGGACCTCAGCCCGTTGCCATAAATAACCCCAATACGACGTCTGGCTGAGCACAGACGGGCTGACAAAGTGGAAGAGCCACAGCCAAACACCTCGACCCCGACAACCCCGCAGGATTAAAAAGGATCTCGTTGGAGCGGCTAAATGGATTTGAGGATGAGGACGGTGAAAGTAAATGCCCTCCATGATACGGGGACTTTTGAAAACGTGAACAAGCTTCATTACAGGTCTCCTGGCCGCGTCCACAACATACAGGTTTCTTCTTAAATGGGGTCATTTGCTCCGTCCCTCCTCACTTTGAAGGTATTTGCTTTGGAAGAAGCTGGTTGCCATGGCAACCGAACACATGTATTCATTCCTGGCCTGCGTTTGTGCGTCTTCGTCCCGCGGTGACGGCAGCTCTTATCTGCATACTGTGTACAGCTATCAGATGTGTGTCCTCGGTGTACTTTTGACCCGTGATTCATGAGCTGCGTCGTGAAGAACCACCGTAGTAAACGTGGAGATTTCACTCCGAGGACCCGACCATCGGGCAGAAGGTCTTCGGTAAATAGAAGTTCTGGTTTGAAGCAAACGACTCATCCGCTGCTCCTCAGAACGGACACTTGCGTTTGAATCCTTAATAATGTTACATTAACTATCTGCTTATTGACCCAATAGACTCGCACTTTGTTGGAAGCTGCCTGAATAGATAATGGATTTAAAACGTTGAACACAACAACATACTTTTCATATTAATGCGATTTCTCTGAATTAGTTTGTTATTGACAGATAACACTGTTACAGTCAAAGCGATGTTTTTGTTATTATTTTAATCCGCTTCCTTTCTGCATCTACTTTGATTTCATACAGGAAAATAAAGAATAAAAGCAGGAAAAGGAGAAGGTCTTTATTTAACATATAGATCTAAATCTGCACGTTATCCCTTAATCCTACAGAAAGGTCTTGTTCTAGTTTGCAACGGCATCTGAATACAGACCAAATGCAGATGTTCTTATATCTGGACTGTTGGTAGTTTTCTTTTTTCTCAATATGAAAATAGGCAACGCAGCGCACATGGCGCACACCACACAGACACGGGTCCGATCCGAGTGTGTGTGTGTCTTCCTTGCTGAGTCTGAAGAGTAGTTTCTGGGTTATTCTGAGCTACACACACATTCTCTTGCATGCTTAAATACAGTCACACTCTCTCTCTCTCTCCCACATTCACACTGGTGCTCTCTCGCCCAGCCGGGGGCCCGTTGGCTGTGCTCCCCTCAGTGTCTGTGGAGGGATTACGGTGTCCTGTGTGATTATCTGTCTATTAATAGTTTCTTTAAGGTCTGTTCACATGCTCCTATGGCGATCTCAAGGCCCCGTAACACAAGACGACCCCGAGTCCTGCAGCCAGTGATCAACACACACACACGCACACACGTGCATGCACATATGCAATGCCCTGCAGAGAAAGGGGCTGAATGAATGTGATAACTCTCCTCGGCCTTGTTCAGTGCCGCGGACACGGGAGGCACGGAGTGTGTGCACGGTGGTTTTGCACAGCATGTTTCACAGCTCTGACGTATCGTTTTACAGGACAGGAAACCGCAACATGTTTTAAGTATTCAGGTAATACTTCAGTCCTAAAATCACTCTTTGTACATCAGTAACTCAGTCAAACACACCTCTTCTGTGAAACACTCAGCGCCTCATGCAGTCCTAGTCCAGAGGTGTAACGTTTGTGAATGTATGTATGCATGTATCTATATGTGTGTGTGTGTGTGTGTGTGTGTGTATAATATATATATGCATGCATGCAGGAGTTTTGGGGCAGTTCTTCAGTTGCCTTCCATGGCTTGTGTCCAAGCAGACTGCTGTGTTTTATGGTTCTGTTTCCCCGGGTTACCAGGAGACACACAAAGGTTTCCTTCTCAACTCAAGAGGTCATCGGATGAGTAATTGATTGTCTCTTCCTTCCCCGTTTATCTGCTTCATTGCAGCTTTTATGGCGACAACTGCTCGCAACAATCGTATACGAGTGAACCAAAAGTGTCCGTCCATGAAACCAAGACCACGAGCTGCGAATTCACCGCGCTCACGTGGCACGCACTCATTCCGCCTGTGTGGATTACGTTTCTGATTTTCCACTGCAACCTAAAAGAAGCGGCCAGGGCTCAATGTCTTCCTCGAGGACGTGCAGACTTTGCAGCCACTTCGATATTCTGTCGAGCGACGAGTGATCACACGGGGGGGCAAAGGGGCAGCGGTTTGATGCCGTTGGCAGGTTCCCTCAGTGAAGATCTGTTTGATTGACGAATATGTTTTCTAGTAGTTTGAATGAAAGACGTTGCTGATGTAGGACGAGGCGTCGTGGAGCTCAGGACTCCAGCAGGCGTTTGGACAGAAGATGCTGGCAGTAGTTTCCCAGGAAACTTCATTTCCCCCTTTTGTTGAGTATTCGGGTTCAGCAGTTGAAACTACGTCACATGACGTCTGAGGAGAATCAGCCGTGGCTTCCTACTCGCACGCTTACAATTTATTGTTTTTTTACAGTATGTGGTTAAAGTTAATAGATCATCGAAGGCAATATTTAAACGACACATTTCCAATAAACCTGAGAAAGAACTTTGTGTTCAAGGACGGTTTGATTTTTTTTTTTTAGTTTCTGCCTCTCGTTCAAGGAAACGCGGCAACAAGCAGAGATGATCTGTGACGAGGTTGAACCTGGCGACGTGCTGCACGTTCATGAATGTTGGAGATCAGCTTGTCCTCCGGCTGCACGGAGCTCAGCGCTGTTCATCTCCCTGCACAATAAAATAAATAATAATACATATATAAACACACAGGTGTGTGTTAGATACCATTAGCACAATGTCTGACTCTTCACTGCAGAACACAGGTGTGTTTTTGATCGTCCTATAAAACAGCAGCAGACTTTATCCCCAGAAAGACTCACAGAGGAGCGATTATCCTAAAGCCAACGTTTATCATCACTATTGATCTACTCGTCATCCAACGCGGATTGGTGGAGCCCGAGAGTTTGTCATTTAAATGCAGCGTGAGGCGGAATGCAAAATGACAAAGGAGCCCGTTGAAGTGTAATCTGAGAGCAACGCACTTCCTGTAAAATACATCACTTCCTGTTGTTTTCTCTTTTGAATTGTTCTTAACTGGATATTTTACTGGACATTTAGTTTCAAAAAATCAGTTTTTTTTCTGTATTTCTGAATTTTTAGGAATTTGCGATGAATGGATGTTTTATAGAAAATAAATAAATTGCCAGTTATTTCCGAGGCCTAGACTGGGAATGATGTAATCAAGGAGAACATTTCGCCCAAATATTATCATTCGCTGAATATTTCTGATCAAAATCATTTTCATTTTTGATTCATTAATTTGTCATAAAATGATGCAAATGCTGCGTTTTGTACGAATGAGACAACTGTTGAATTGATTTTCACATGAATATTCAACCAACATGAACACTTTGGTCACGTGACCACTTAACACACTTCTCACTGATGTTTGTTTTACAGAAGAGACACAAAGTCAACATGAGTAAATAATGTTTAGATTTATTCTGCAGCTTTCTGACCTCGATGGGAGTCACACAAACCTCATGTATTTCTGCACCACTTCAACAGTCTTCTGTCTCTCTCCTCTGTGTGTGTGTGCGCGTTTGTTTCGTGCATCCAGACGTGCCGGCGCCGGAGCAGCCGGAGCTGTTCCTGAAGAAGCTGCAGCAGTGCTGCACCGTCTTTGACTTCATCGACACGCTGTCCGACCTCAAGATGAAGGAGTACAAGCGCTCCACGCTCAACGAGCTGGTGGACTACGTCACCGTCAGCCGGGGCTACCTGACGGAGCAGGCCTACCCGGAGGTCGTCAAAATGGTGAGGGGGGTACACGTGCATCCAATGCACAAACAGATCGAAGAGTCCTTCTCCTCTAAGAAAAGAAAAACTGTCCAAAATTTGGAAAAAACGATTGAACTTTTTTCCTGAAGGCGGAGCAGTGTCGTGAAAGTGGAAGAGAGCTCTGATGGAGACGCACTCGTGAGTTCTCAGGGGCAGAAGGTCTGAAGATGACCCACGTCTCCCCCTCTGTCCCCCTGCAGGTCTCTCACAACATATTCCGGACCCTTCCGCCCAGCGACAGCAACGAGTTCGACCCCGAGGAAGACGAGCCCACGCTCGAGGCGTCCTGGCCACACTTACAGGTAACGTGTGTGTGTGTGTGTGTGTGTGTGTGTGTGCGCGCACGCGCGCGCACTAGTTGACACGTAGTGTTTCGATTTAGTTGCACAGAAAGAAGGAAAGTGAGCACTGTTTGGATCTCACATGAACTCCTCCTCCTCTCTGCAGTTGGTTTACGAGTTCTTCATCCGGTTCTTGGAGAGTCAGGAATTCCAGCCCAGCATTGCCAAAAAGTACATAGACCAGAAGTTTGTCCTACAGGTGAGTCTCCTGAGTCCGTCCGACCTCAGGCATCTTCTACGGTTCTGATGGAGCTCCTCCTGTGGTTCTGATGGAGCTCCTCCTGTGGTTCTGATGGAGCTCCTTCTCTCCCTGCAGCTCCTGGAGTTGTTTGACAGCGAGGACCCTCGGGAGAGAGACTACCTGAAGACAGTCTTGCATAGAATCTACGGCAAATTCCTGGGTCTGAGGGCTTTTATACGAAAACAGATCAATAATATTTTTCTACGGTGAGTCGACGCTTCTTCGTCTCTGTTTAGTTTCCCGTAATCTCGCCGATGTCGTTTTCTTTCATGAATGTTCTTCATGTTGGTCGGTTCTGAGATCCTGTGTCTCTCCTCTGACTGTAGTTTTGTCTACGAGACGGAGCACTTCAACGGGGTGGCCGAGTTGCTGGAGATCCTGGGCAGGTACGTGGCCAGATGTTTCCATCTCTTTGTATGGAGGCGGAGAAGAGCTGAGGGCACAGATTGACTTGTGGAAAAGGAGTAAAAAACCCTTTCTAATCAGCTTTTCCTTTCTGTGCTGATCAGTGTTCTATTCATCAGTCACGACGCTGACGGTCCTGATTCTGGGACCTGAAGTCAGTTTTCATTACCTGATACTTTCTGCTACTTTTTTGCAGTTAATTTGTGGAGGTTAAAAGTTCCCAGTGAGCCTGAATGTCTCATCTGTGTACAAACAGGTCATCGATCTTCCACTTGGCTTTTAGAGATTTCACGTGTTCATGTTTAATACGTCTCTCTCTCTCTCTCTCTCTCTCTCTCTCTCCCTCTCCCAGTATAATCAATGGTTTCGCTCTGCCACTGAAAGCGGAGCATAAACAGTTTCTGGTCAAAGTGTTGATCCCCCTCCACACGGTCCGGAGTCTGTCCCTCTTCCACGCACAGGTACAACGTGTGTGTGTGTACGCGTGTGTGTGTGTGTACGCGTGTGTGTGTGTACGCGTGTGTGTGTGTGTACGAGTGTGTGTGTGTGTGTGTGTGTGTACGTGTGTGTGTGTGTAAGTGTGTACGTGTGTGTGTATGTGTGTGTGTGTGTGTGTGTACGCGTGTGTGTACGCGTGTGTGTGTGTGTGTGTGTGTGTGTGTGTGTGTGTGTGTGTGTGTGTGTGTGTGTGTGTGTGTGTGTACACACACATTCAGATCTAGAATTACAGCTTCTGGTTTAGTCAGAACTCACCAAGGAGAAGAAATGAAGAAAACATGAATTCACGTTCACATTATTTTTTATTTGGAATTTTAAAAACTAACGCGATCCGCATCCAGACGTTCATTTTTAGGGTTGTTTGAGAAATGTTCTCCGCCAGAAACCACATGACGTGCACTTTGCGCGTCTAAGCGCTCCAGTAAGAGTCTCCCTTCTGCTCACGTCGGCATTTATAGAGTAATAAACTAAATGTTATCGGCACCACAAGCTCAAGGTCGGCCATGTTTGGAATTCTTACACCGAATGGATGGTTTGGGCTAAGCTAAGCTAATGGGCTAACGCGTGTTCCTCTCCCTGCAGTTGGCGTATTGCATTGTACAGTTCCTAGAGAAAGACCCAACATTAACAGAACCAGTAAGTATCCCCCATTCAAAGTCTCCACACAGCAACAGAACCACAGGGAGGAAAAGCTGCATCTCTCTCTCTCCTCAGGTCATCAGAGGGTTACTGAAGTTCTGGCCAAAAACCTGCAGTCAAAAAGAGGTGGGGCTTGTTGTGTTTATTTGTGTGCAGGTACAATAATGTCCGTGTGTGGTAAACGTACTCTTCCCCCCCCCACCTCCCCCAGGTGATGTTTCTAGGGGAGCTCGAGGAGATCCTGGACGTCATCGAGCCCACACAGTTCGTCAAGATCCAGGAGCCGCTCTTCAAGCAGATCTCCAGATGCGTCTCCAGCCCACACTTCCAGGTGGGTGACCGGGCACCACGGGCGGGACACTGGGGACGATGTTATGTTTGGGCGGGGGGGGCTTACGCGTGCGTGTGCTCGGTGTCCCGCAGGTGGCGGAGCGAGCTCTGTACTACTGGAACAACGAGTACATCATGAGCCTGATCGAGGAGAACTCCAGCGTCATCCTGCCCATCATGTTCTCCAGCCTCTACCGGATCTCCAAAGAGCACTGGAACCCGTGAGTTCATCAAAGCCGCTGCTGCTTCCCTTCCCTCCCCCAACACGAGCGATGATGACTTTCACAGACGCTGTGAACTTGGATAACTTGGATGTGTGCGTCATCGCTGGTGACCTCTGACCCCCCCTCTCCCCTTGCAGGGCCATCGTGGCGCTGGTCTACAACGTACTGAAGGCCTTCATGGAGATGAACAGTACCTTATTCGACGAGCTCACAGCCACTTACAAGTCGGACCGCCAGCGGTGAGGAGCGCCCGAGGCTTCATGATCCCCTGACCTCTGACCTCACATTCAGAACAAGTCTCAAGCCTCTTGGCTTGTTTGGCTCGATCAAAGAAACGTGGAAGTTTAAACTTTTGAAATCATGCGGTTCATTTTTTAAGTACATTTAACGCAAATATAAAGACATAATTAAAAATGAACATTTCAAATATAATAAAAACCAAAGGCAGGAGTTAAAATATGTTTGTTTGTTGTGGAGTTAAGAGAAATAATACTAATAATAATGACTTCATTAATGTAGCAGCTTCACACAGGTTCAGATTAGTGATGTTTGTGTTCCAGTGAGAAGAAGAAGGAGAAGGAGCGGGAGGACCTGTGGAAGAAGCTGGAGGACTTGGAGCTGAAGCGGGGCCTTAGGAATGACGGCATCATCCCCACTTAACGAAGACCGCGCCGCGCTCCTCCCCCCCCCCCGGCCTTGTAACTCCCCCGGCCCTTCATTCTTCGCTTCCCCTCAACTTAAGCAATTTCGCCCAAGAGTTCGGAAAACCCCCCAATACAAACCCCCCCCCCCCCCCCAATGGACACGGAGCGCCTGCTGGTTTCTTAATTGTTTTTTCTCATGTTTTCTTTTTCTGGTTTCTTTTTTTCCCTCCTGTGTTTGTGCGACTTACTTTACAGTAGATTCATCACGTCTGTTTTCATTATTTCAACAGCACTGTAAATAATAATAATTATTTTCCCCCCCCCCCCCCTCCTTCCCCCCGCGCCCCGAAAACTGATATTATTGCAAACGGATAAACAAAAACAATAATAATAAAAAAACGAAGTAAAAAAGTAGAAAATGAGAAAATGACTTGTGTGTGAGGGGGAGTTTAAACAAAACAAAAACAACTTGAAGAACGTGAGACGAACTCCTGGAAGACAAAAGAAGAGAAGCGGGACGGATTTGAACTCTTCTTCTTCAGTAAAGTCCCGTGTGTCGTTTTTATTTCACTGCTCATCTCGCTGCCTCAGTCTTTCTGCCCTCCTTCCTCTCTAAAGGTGCGTCTGTCATTTATGTCCCCCGGGTTGGATGTATACTGATAATGTGACCCCCCCCCTCCCTTTAGGTTCCCCACGGTCCCCCGCCACACACACACACACACCCCATCTCTTCTGAGTGCGTTTACATGCGTGTTCAAGGGAGAGTTACTTGTGTAAATGTTTTTTTTTCTCCAATTTTTGTCCCCCAAACTACATAAATAATGTTGTCTTTGCATAAATACAGAAAGTTATTATTTAAAATTACTGGGTTAGGGTTAAATTTAATCAATTAAATGTAATTAAAATGAATTGCTATCAATATTTTTACTACTACAGATTAAAACTCTTCTCGTCTTGAGCAGTCACACAGTATTTCCGGTGGCTGTTTCAAAATAAAAGCTCTTGTGTTTCACAATTCAAAAAAAAAAAACTCAATGAAGGAAATGAAAATCCCCAAAGCAGAAGAACATGTATGTTGTCACTGATGATACAAACTACTAAAGGTATTTTTAGAATGTAAATAGACGGATAAAATAAAACGGGCCTTGAAATAAGTTTTTTTCTTTTACTTTGGCGCCATCTGGCGTCTGCGCCGGAAGTGGAACGACAATAAATACGTCACTATGATTGTGTTAACTAAAAGGTGGAGCAGATGAAAAATATAAAATAATGAAACTAATTACTGTCATAAATGTTTCCTCTCGTTTGTTTGTTTTAACCTTCATATAAACGGCAGCATTAAACGTGTGAATCCACATGTAAACGCACTCCATTCTTTACTCTTCCTCTGAAACAATAGATGAACTTTTCCCCCCTGCGTCTTATTCTTTAACCCCGCCCCTCACTCCCTCACCTGCCACACCTGTTTCTTGGGTATCAGTCTGGCACAGGTACCCTCCGGACGTAACGGCGACTTTCAAAATAAAACGCGCACACAATTCTTTTTAGATAAACGCCAATTGAGAAAAAAAAAACCTTGCGAAAAAGCGAGCGCCCCGTACATCACCTCTCTGCCCCCCCCCCCCCGCTCCTATCCCCCTCTGCCCACCTGAGGAGGAGGAGGGTGGTGCTGCGTTGACTTCACAGTATTACAACAACCCTGTACATTGTTATTGAATGCAGTACACTGATAATCTTGTATCTTGTAGTAATTTAGCCTTTGTTCTTTGCTTAGGAATCTGTGGAGAGGAGTATCCAGTATATAACGAGGTATTATGGATCAATACTTCCTGGTAATTAAGATAGTGCCCCCCCCCCCCTTCCTTATGTTCTTTTCTCTCACGCCTCCCTCTTCACTTGGTTTTTATCGCATTTTTTGGATATTTTCATAAAGTTTCTTTTAAACCATTGGATATATATATTTTTCATTGTAAAGGGGGGTCTGGGAGGCAGGGGGTCGGGGCGGGGGGGGAGGGAGGGGGGGTACAGAGCAGCAACACTTTGTGACGGTGAATAAAATAAAGGGCCCCCCTCCCTCACAGAATTAACGTGTGCTTTAGAACGGCCCGAATATAATATGAGTTAAAACTGAAGAGAAAAAAAACAGGAGGAAAAAATGGTTGGAGAAATACAAATGTTTAATTATTTTAAAAAATAAAGAGATATTAAATTAAACCTGTTTTGTGATAAAGCCCGGACGCTGAATTGCTTTATTTACATGTGTGTGTGTATATGTGTATATACACACATCTGTAGAGAAACTACAGAAACAGTTTAACTGTTAAAGTCAGAGAAACTGAATGAATTATCCGGTGTTCTTCTCTATTTGTATTGTCAATGTGTCTCCCCACACTTGCTAAAGACTTCAAATCAAAGTTGTTTTTTTTATTAGAATCCATTTCTGTGAGTGCAATGAGCCGGAAGTAGTGTCGGTGACGTCACAATAAGAGCCGTTTGACTCCTCTAATGCGAAGGAAAGCTCTTCGACGCCTTCAATTAGCTCCTTAGCAGAGGAACCACTGGACCAAACTCACGAGAGGGAAGGAGATCATTTAAATAGCGACGGCAGACTGACGTCACTAACGTGCGCCTCCGTCCACCAGGACCACAGGGATATCGATCAGGACTACGGCCAGCAGGAGGGGACACTTCTCCGGTTCAATACAAAGAACACAGCTTGATACGGTCATACGTTTTTCATTTATTTAAATGTCCTGTTGAAAAACAAACCCCTTAATTCTGCGTCCTCTCTATTACTCTGGCTTGAGAAAAACATTTGACCCTACGAACAAACGTCACAGTTAAACAAGAGATTCTTCTCATAAAATCCATAAACAACTGTTTCACAATACCCAATTCTGTCAATGTCAAATATTTGAGTTCCTGCTCTTTAATAAAACAAAGTGCACGCCGACATTAAACGTTTTAAAACCAACTTAAATAATAAAAGTAGCAGCGGCTCGTTTTAAAGTCCGCCACCAGGGGGCAGCAGAGGCCTCCGTCTGTCCGTTTGCTAATCAAACTTTATGGGTCGAAGAATCTGATCTGAGAGTATTTCAAGTGTTAGAAAAGGTGCAGCTTGGTGGGGCTGGTGGAGGAGCCCTGGTGGAGCTACTGGACGTTTATCCAATTAAGATCACCTTTGAGAAGACGCGTCTCTTAAGTGTTTCTTGGTTCCGGATTAATTGAAAAAAGGAGGGAACTTGATGCTGATTAAAACTCCACCCTGATTAATTAGCTCTCCATTAAGATGGCGCCTCCACCCACCAAGCCCCCCTCTCTGTCTGTGTGTCTCTTTTCCTTGTGTACACTTTATAAAATCTACAAAGTGAGCAAACACCTACAATAATGAAACAATACTTTAGAAGACAACAGCTGCAAAAGACATAAACAGCTCGTACTTGTAATATGTATCTCCTTCAGTGTTTGTTTATGTCTCATTGTATTCATTCTGACATGATTTTGGGGCTCGGAGTATGAAAGGACCTCTGCTGTAGTAGCAGCTGTCGCCCTGCAGGGGGAGACTGAATTATTCATTCTAGGGGACAAGTGAGCACGTGATTCACTAATGAGGGAATGAGATGACCGCTGTGGGAACACGCGTCTAATTGGAGACCAGGATTTGTACTTTGAGGTGATAACTTATTAACTTATCAAAGCCGCTCTCTGTTACCGAGCTGTGTGTCACTTGTTACGTCATTTGTTTGTTTTTAGTCGTCACCCCTCCTCCTCCCCACTCCTTCTTTGTTTCTTTCCTCCGTCTCCTTCTGTCTCTTCCTTCTCTCTGATAATCCTCCTCTTGTTTCCTTCTTTTGCATTCCTTGTTTCCTTCTCGTTTATCTTTCTTTTACTGTTTGTCTCCTCTTCTCTCTTGTGCTTGATTCCACACTCCCCCTTTTCTGTTCAATCATGTCCTTTCCTTGCTGCCTTGTTTCCTCATTTCCTCTCTTTTCCTTTGTATTCCTTCTCCTTGATATTCCTCCCCTTGTTTCCTCTGAGGTTTCCTTCCCATCCAACTTTCTTTATTCCCTCCTCGTTTCCTCTCTGTCTTTTTGTCTCCTCCTCCTTAAGAGTTGAGTTACATTAATTTACTTCAATCTCTCATTAATCTGGTTTGAGGGGATTATTACACACAACCACTTTCTTCTTCCTTGTCTCCTTGTTTCCATCTCACTTTCTCTATTATGATCTCCTTGTCTCCTCTCTTCTTCATTGGTTCGTTTCTATTTTCTCCTCCGCATTACTGAGGTTCCCTTTCTTCCTTCCTTTCCTTTTTCTTTGTTTCATCTTTTCCTTTCTTCCTCATTTACTTCTCTTTTCATTTTGTCTTTCATCCTCTCCTCATTCTCTACTTTTGTCTCCTTGCTTCCTATATCTCTTATTTCCTCATCTTCCTGTGTTCCCTTTTCTCACCTCCTTCCCTCCTATCCTGCTCCCCTTGATTTCTATCTATTTACTTTCCCCTCGTTCCTCTAATGCTCATTCCCTCTCCTATCCTACTTCCCTTCCTTTCCTCACTCCTTTTCTTACATCTCCCCTTGTTTCCTCCTCTCTTCTAGTAGGAATCAACCCCCAATCAACGTTGTTGCTCTCTAGTAAAATAAAGCCTCGTCTGCATCTTTGCATCCTCTTAAATGTTTAATTGGGACCATTTATTTATTTGTGTTGCTCGTGTTCATTAACCCAGTAAACGCAGCAGGAGCTCGGCTTGTTTATGAGGAAGGAAACGAGGCGGCTGGGAATCCACGGAGGACTCTAAACATCCACTTTGTCCGTTTTCAAGGCAGCGCAGTTAAATATTTAACTTGGCTTAATGCACCGTGATGCCAAAACAGACGGATGGTGGAAAAAAAGAGCCCCGATTTCAACGTCCTGAAATAGTCCAATTTTTCTCAACACAAAACCTTTGACCCGTAATCCCAGCGGCTCGCTGGTGCACGGATGCACCTGCGTTGCCACGGTGATTTGGTTTTGTTTAATTGTTCCTGTCTGCTGGGGATGAATGTCATGTTTTCCTCTTATTTTGATGATTTAATGCTCTTTATAACTTCAA